GAGGGGGGGAGGGGGGCTCTATTGATTATATAGTGAAAATGCATTAATTCTATTAATTAATCATTAACTAATCCTGTCTGCTCCTTAGTGTTGAGCTGATAAATAAATTGCTTAGCTATGATGAAGATGGGAGCTTCGAACAGAATTTTTAAATCTTGTGGTCCTAGGGTCAGGGGTTCTGGCATAACGAGGAAGGGGGGGGGGCATTTGATAATATAGTGGAAAAGTGTTAATTCTTTGAAGTCCATAGTTATGATGATGAGGGTAACTCTTCCAAATTTGTAAATTTCTTGACCTTTGGTCTTGGGTTCTGGTGTTAGGGTAAGGCTTTGTTGAATCTGTAGTGAAAATGCATTGTACCTGTGAAATTCTTCTCTGCTTCTGGGCATATCGAAAGCAAACTGAGTAAAAGTTTAAATGATATAAGTAAGCGTATTTCTACCAGATTTTTGAACATCTGGACAATTTGTCTAAGCATTCTGGTCCTGGACAGGGCTCTATTAATTTGTATTCTACTGAGAGAAGTTATTCCCCTTTTCCATTCACCTTTGATAATTAATCACTGTAAATAATGTATTTGAAAGATTAATAGAATAAGATAATTATGCAAGAATTTTTATTGTATAATTCAAAAAGTACTTTCTTAGTTTTAATAATCAGGCAGACCTGTAAGTAATAGATAAATAAAAATGAGACAAAAATAACTTATCTTATTAAAAGTTCTTCAAATACCATAAGAGAGATCAATGCTAAAGGTCTTAATATGGGTTTAAAAATAGTACAGAAGCACTAATAGTTTGTTAATAGTCTGCATGGTGATAATATTAAGTGGGGGACAGATTAGAACTTAAGTTATGAGTTGATACTGAATACTAGACTAATTATTTTGTTGATCCTGATCTTCCTACTTCTCTTGCTTTAGGGCAACAAAGCTTCATCTGTCAGTGTATTTAACTTCTAAATTGTTGTATTATACTCAGGTGACCGTTAAGGACCTTGGGCCTCTTGTTAAATGAAGACATGACAGAAATAAATTTCGATAAAGAGACCCCAGTTCAACTCTCATGACTTGATATGAAAGTATGGACCGGACTTGCAGTACAGCTAAGAAAAACCTAAGAAAAAAAAAAGTATCCCAACTCGTAGGACTTCGGATGTTAAAGTGAGGACTTGTCACAAAGAAAAATTATGATTCCCAAATCACTTGCCTTAGAATACAATTAATTGGAAAATTAGAAGTGATTCAATAAGTCACACAGAAATTAGTGACTTATGCGTCCTTGCTTATTTCGGATTACTTGTAACCTTAGAGAAGTAGCAAGCAAATAACTAACCCTATGCAATATCGCAGCCTTAAAGTACTTGAACGGCTGTTCATTTCTTTTTATTACCTGTTATGTGCGAACAAGCGGCTAGTATTTATACTATTCATTGAAATAACCTTTTTTTTTAATTTAAAAGTATACATTCCAGATAATTACAAATGTCCAAATACGTACTATGCACCTCCCAGGATCAAAAGCTTGACCTTTATATCTCCAAGGGTCAAGGTTTATACCATTTATTGTGAGATTGTATATGAGAACTAAACCTTTCTATGCCCCCGTAATTGAAGATTAGGGGGCATATAGTTTTTGCCCTGTCCGTACGTCTGTCTGTCTATCTGTTTGTCCGCAAAACTTTAACCTTGCCCATAACTTTTGTTTTGTTGGAGCTATGGCCTTCATGTTTCACATGTGTATTCCTTGTGGCAAGACCTTTCTTTAGGTACCATCATATTTGACCTGTTGACCTTGGAGTTTGACCCGATTTTGAAAAAAATTATCAGACTTTTACCTTGGCCACAACTTTTGAACATTTAATGCTAGGGCTTTCAAACTTCACATGTGTATTCCATGTGACAAGACTTTCCTTTGGATATCAACAACTTTGACCCTTTGATCTCGACCCAGGAGTTTGACCTACTTTTGAAAAACTTTAACATTGGCCATAACTTTTGAAGAGTTGATGCAAGGGCTTTCATACTTCACATGTGTGTTCCTTGTAACAAGACCTTCCTACGTATACCAACAAATTTGACCCTTTTACCTTGATCTTGGAGTTTTACCTACTTATGAAAAAAATAATCTTGGCCATACTTTTCGAACAGTAGGTGCTACGATTTTCATACTTCATATGTATGTTTCTTGTGACAAGACCTTCATTTGTATACTTAAAACTTTGACTCTTTGACCTTGACGTTTGACCTACTTTTGAAAAACTCTAATAACCTTGGCCATAACTATTTAACAGTTGGTGCAAGTGCTTTCATACTTCACACGTGTGTTCCATGTGATAACTTTTGAACAGTTGGTGCTAAAGTTTTCATACTTCACATACATATTTCTCGTGACAGGACCTTCCTTAGAATACCAACAATTTTGAACTTTTGATCTTGATCTTGGAGTTTGACCTACTTTTGAAAAAAATTAACCTTTGCCATACTTTTCGAACAGTAGGTGCTAGGGTTATCATACTTTACATGTATATTTCTCGTGACAAGACCTTTATTTGTTTACTAACAATTTTGACCCTTTAACCTTAGAGTTTTACCTACTTTTGAAAAACTTTAATAATCCTGGCCATAGCTATTGAACAAGTGGTGCTAGGGCCTTCATACTTTACGCGTGTGTTCCTTGTGAGAAGATCTTTCTTTGGATACCAACAATTTACCGTTTGACCTTGACCTTGGAGTTTGACTTACCTTTTAAAAAAATTAACCTTGGCCATAACTTTTGAACATTTGGTGCTAAGGCTTTAATACTTCACATGTGTATTCCTTGTGACAAGACCTTCCTTCGGATACTTACAACTTTAACCCTTTGACCTTGACCTTGGAGTTTGACCTACTTTTGAAAATTCTGATCTTAGCCATAACTTTTGAAAATTTGGTGCTAGCGTTTTCATACTTCACTTGTATATTCCTCGTGATAGAATCTTCCTTTGGATACTAACAATTTTGGCTAATTGACCTTGACATTGGAGTTTGATCTACTTTAAAAAAAATAACCTTGGCAATTATTCGAATATTCGAATTCGATAGTTATGTAAGTTTGGCATTGTTGTAATGAAGGGCCTGTCCTTTGTGTTGGCGGCCCAAACACCGTTTTGCCAGAGACACTAGTAGCATTGGTAATCACTCATCTAAGTATCTAAGGCCGTTCTTCGTGCTGACTATTCCTTAAGGTAAAAATGATGTCGTTAGTGTGAGAAAAGAAGAGAACTATACCTTCTTGAAAGATTAAAAAAAATCTGAAAGAAAAACTCTTTGCTTATCTACTCAACATGAAAACACATACATATCATCAAGTAGATAATTATTAAAAGATAAATATTAAGAGATCTAAGGCTGCAGACAAGAGTTGATCAATCAATACATGTCTATTTGTAATTGTAAAATTTCACAAATCGAAAATATTGTTAAGATATTTGTGAATAGATAACAAAATAATAATTAAACTCAAAGGTCAAAAGTAATAATAAAAATTGTAAATAGAACAAACATTGACCTCTGAAAACATCAGAGGTAGAAATCCGATGTCATTCGTTTGAATTGTTGTCATTTTATCAGTATGAGGATACATAATAATACTCTTTACTACAAGGTTTCTTTCAAGCCTTTATACCCTATTGACATAAAGGAAATGAGATCTTTGATAAACATTTTTGAATATAGCAAGGTACAATCACTACATGATTGCGATCTTGATACACCTCCGGGAAATTGACTTTAAACATTTTTAATAATTTGGAATAAGGGGGGTCCACCATCTGATAAGAGAGATACTTCCCAAGTGAATAATTCTGAAGTTACCCATAATTTTACATTTACTCATATCTTTAAAGGAAAGATTACTCTGAAACCCAGATTATTAATTCGTTGAAGATGTGAATTCGTTGATTCAGGTCATCCATGAATTCCACGAATACGAAGCCACTATGAAATCTAATGATTCCACAATAAATATTACCTTTCATAGAACTATGTTCCATAATCCGTAAATTAGGTGCCTGCTCAAAAGTATGTTCTTGTATGTAACGTTTTCTCCCAGTTCAACACAGACACCTGATGTTATTTAATTTTCTTAAAATAAAAAAAAATATATATTCCCAACTTATGTTTAGGGAAGGTATATTTTATGATTTAAGAAAAAAAAATGACGTTAGGTGCCAGTTCAGCTTATTTACTGTCGTTTGCATTTTTTTAAGTCGGGATTGAAGTTCAAACATGTGCACTTTGACATGGTTGTATGTTCGTTCGCCATAAAACTTGTTCGCCCTTGCATGACGCCGTTCGCCCTCATTCCCGTTTGCCCAGAGTTCGATCGCCCTAAAACTTGTTCGCACAGGGTACGTTCGCCTTATTTATATTGCAGAAAGTTCAATAATGAACCAATGGATTTTTAAAATAAATTATATATATGTACATTGGTACATAAATTGCACACGGGAGACAACAGACGTATGCATGTGGTCACACTATAAATACCTGTACTATCAAAGACCCGGCAGACCAACAGAAAATTAACGTCTCAGTCCTTTAATTGTTTTCAAAACATAACAGAAATTGTATGATCCCCTAACTTACAGTGACATTATTAAGTATAATTAAATCAATTAAGCATGTAAAGAGCATAAATATCAAATTTGAATTATTTAAATAAGATTACGGTAAATAAAAAAAATACTGTAGCAACATTTGAAAAAAAAACACCAAGTCGTAAAATATTGAATAAAATTAATAATAAATGTAAATATTTACTATATACTGTATATATATATATATATATATATATATATATATATATATATATATATATATATATATATATATATATATATGAGGGCGAACGAGATATAGGGCGAACAAGAATAATGGCGAACGGACCTTGCGAACGAACTCAGGCGAACAGGTAGATAGGGCGAACGAACTTGATACCCTTTGACATTCCGCAGCAACTATGGCGAGCTCTGTATTGAACAATGTCTTTAATGTGTTTTGCAGAGACTCTTCTGCGTATTTTGCAACGATTGGATTTGTTACAGCTTCATATATAGCATTTAAAGCAGCTTTTAATGTAATCAAAATCTTGAAATTCCTTGTTTTTGCTGGATCTACAAACTTCAAGAAACTAGGATCATGGGCAGGTAACGATACTTGTATCAACATATTCTGTTACATGTATATCTATTGACTCAATTCGTATAAATTTACTACTTTCTTTAAGCTTTTCAGAAGTAAACAGGACAACTTACACGTAAAAACATTTTTTGCAACTATATTAAATGCTTGGCGCATATGCTATTGTATTTGATACCGTCTTTCAGCTCTCTTAGGGCGTATCATAAAGCGTCGTATTTCCAAATGTAGCGAGGCGTTACATGTACATTCAAGGTCTAAATGCAAAGAGTTACAGGCCCGTAGGAAGCAATTTCAGTTGGGGGGGGGGGGCACAACCAAACATATTCAGGTTTTCAGTTGGGGGGGGGGGGCACTATCAACTACCAAAAATTCATTGACAAGCAAAAAAAAAAAAAAAAAAAAAAAGGTAATCAGACGTTATTGTTGAGGGGGCACAAGTATATAGTAGCTATGTTTTCTATAGTATTCTATATATCGGCAAAATTATTGGGGGGCACGCCCCCCCCCCGTGCCCCCCCTTTCCTCCTGAGCGTGCATTACGTAATATTAACTGATTAAGTCAGGCTTATCATGTATACAGGTAGTCAACAAATTTATTTTTATGCCTTCTAAGTTTTTTTTATTTCAGTATGGTAGATTATCAGTTTAAATCAAAGGTATACTTTTTGTTGCCTTTCTGATAACACATATTTAAGTTGTAACAGACATAATGTCTGATTAAGACCTTGTTTTGTCACTAGTGGGTAACATTGAAGATACATATGTATTTTTTAAAGTGAAAGACTAGATTAGAGAGTCATAAATGGAGTTTAAATTATCTAAAGCGAGTGTGTAGCCGTCTAAAAATGGTATGTAACAAAAAAAAATACAAATGAAAACAATCCCTGTCTTTATATTGATTCATTGAAATTGACTGTGAATGTTGACTTGATTCTCAAGGATATATATTTATTTTTTCACTGACGAATATAGGTCAATGTTAGCCAGTATTGAGGTTATGGAAAAAGGTTTCAGTGAAAATGCTATATAATAATTATAATACATGTAAAAGAAATTAGGGAGGCTATTAATAAACAAGATCCTGTTTAATAGGTTTTAAAGGAAAAAATACATAATTATCCTAAGGTTTGGGTCGTATTGTTTCATTGACAGAACACCTTGCAAATAAAGCCCTACACATTCAAAAAACTAAAACAATATTGTCGGACTCGATTTGTCTGTTGGATATGAATTTTACAATTTATCGATCAAAACTCTGGAATGAAAAAAGGAGTAGTCAAACCAAAGGTATATGGAGGAGTGTAGTTAAATTTTGAGTATTGCATTATGAAACTAAAAATATGGTTGATAAGACCAAACATTCAATGAGTTTTCTTATGGTTCAAGATCTTTTAATAATAAGAAAAGATCATAAACTTTAACTTTCTGGAGTGGTATTAGGCAAAGTTAGAACAGCAATTTACCCAAAAATTCCCACAGTAAAGGCTTAGTAGAGGCAGTAAGTTATATAGAAATGGTTGCTATTCATATCAAAACAGGGGCCTGAAGAAAGGTCACCAGAACCAGTGAATAAGGTGAGAACAGCTGACATTGTATATTGGAAACACTTAACTGGTGAAAACATTTACTTGTCTTTGAAAATATTAAATTAAAGAATGCAAGATTGCTTGTTTTTTTGTTTGTTTTTTTTTTTTTTTTGAGAGAGAAACATAAGCATTATTTTTTAAATAAATGATAAAAAGCAGAAATTGTTATCTGAGAGTGAATATGAACTTGTTCAACAGAAAGTAAATACATTAAAAGTGAAAAATGGCAATTGAAATCTTCAATCCTTCTTATGATAATTTTAGTTTCAAATGAATATTGAACTTGACAACAGATAATATATTAAAAAAATCATTTGAAACATTTTAATTGAATGTTTCAACACCTAGACAATTCACAAAAATATCAAGGCCTGTCTTTATTGCTTTTTGGGTAGTTAACAGTATTATAACACCATTCCGTAGACAACGAAAAGAACAATGAAATGGCAAACCAGACATGCTTTTCAATATGGCTGCAACGAAAATGTGGATATTGTGGGGGGTCTTTTATTCCGCTATATATCAATGTAAATGTGATGGAACCTTTTAACAATACACAAAGATGCATAGCAGAGCATATTCCTGGACATCGTTCGATCAATGAATCAAATATACTTTTCTTATTTGATTCATTTATACTGGATTTCTAAACTTCATTAAAAAAACACATTACCGGGTCCAGTAAATGCGTTACCAAGCCCCTTTCGTTACTCCAATATTAAGAGCTGTAAATGAGAAACTTCAGACGTACTGTCATACAGCATATTCTAGAAGTGGTGTAAATCAGATTTTCAAAAACTCCAAAGAACTTTTAGAAAATTTTAAATCACCAAATTCTTCTAAAGTCAATAACATCAAAACTACGACTTTTCTTCACTTCATACAACCATTCCTCTTGAAAAATAAAAAACTATAGACTTTTTGATGCCATAGACAACTTCTTCAATAATAATGAAACTTCGAAATTTCCGTATCTTTTGAATGGTCATCAACAAAATTACTACAAATCACCCTGATTCTACACAAGAGTACATGTACCCTTAAGTTGATATTAAAAGGATGCTGGAGTTCCTCATTGACAACATTTATGCAGTTTTTGGAGACCACAGGTCTTCCAATTACAACAAAATGTTGGCATTTTGATGGGAATTAAGACCACAATTAAAATATTGTTGGTTTGGCGTTGCCGACTTGGTCTTTATACGTTGGGGTCGGGAGGTAGGGAAAATATTTTTTTAATTTAAATTTCAGAAATGGTACATGTTGTTAGTATCCGAACGTCATGGGTTTCCGATAGTTTAACAACAACCACAGTCCGAATTGATTCTCAGTTTTGTCATTGATTTTCAAATCCTATTAGTTTTAAACCTACAATATACATATAGTATTAAAAGTCACTGACATTAAATTATTGTAAATTCGAATCATGTGCACGAATCCAAGCATGGCAGCTAGACTAGTAAATCGGACAGGACATTGTACCGTGAATTTTCTATTTCGAACTGGTATATCTTATTCATCAGTTTACTTAAAAACTACATTACCACAGAGAGTCATGCCATCAACTTTTGTTATACCGAGTTTACATTTTACCGCTTTCGACAGCCATGCTTGGATTCATGATACGCATTTATTCAACATCACATAGACGCTTATAAATGAAAACTGTTTGATCAACCAAGCGTTTACATGATTCTTTCCCATTCTGTATATATTATGCAAAAGTACATACACCTAAATTCGGATGAATATAACGAAATAAAAATTATGATCAGTATCTGTTGAAAAATTTCTTCGGACCGCACCGATTTATGCGAGTCGGCCGGCAAACAAAGCTAATTTTATTTTTGAACTAACTGTGCTCCTTTATTTGGTACCTATTGTGCTCTTTTATTTGCCAATTTGTTTTTATATTCCTATGAAGCAGAGTTTTTGAACTTCTACATGAGAAGAAGAAGTAACTTGCTGTAGCGTTCAACTCAGCATTCAGATATATCGACAACGTTTATCAATAAACAATAGTTACTTCCATTCATATGTCGACTCGATATATCCCAGTTAACTTTGCATAAAAGACGGCACATAGTCTGCCATATTTGTCACATATTTGGATGACTTACTGACTATAGACGATAAAAGCAAATTTACAACCATATTGTATGACAAACGAGATGACTACAGATTATCCATTGACAACTTTCTTTTATTTATGTAATAATATTCCGCTATCAACTCTCAACTTATTCGATACTCAAAAGCATGCTCTGGGTACTACAATTTTTAAACCGAGTTACGCTACTGACAATTTAACCCACACAATATTTTTTTTTTTAAAATTACACCGTGAAATAAAGTATGAGTAGCATTTATTTTTTAATTTTACATTCTTTTCATTGCTTCTGAACTGATTACTCATGCTGTTTTTCCTTCTTGGAGACCTTACTCTTCTGTTTATTTTTTATTTTTTTTCCTCTGATTTTCTTGTTCCTCATCCATTCTTCTCTTATTTCGACCAGGTGCTCATTAGGTAAGGCATTGAACCATACTTTACCGAGTAACATGTCTTCATGAATTTCTTAAAGTCGCTTAGTGTAAACCAGTGTCAGAAAAATGCACACTGATAACAAATTACAAAAACTGACAGGACGGAATTTCAATTGCCGGTATTTAAATCAAATTCAAAATGTTGGACAGTAAGGCGGATTGTGAGATGATATTTTTGACTGAAACTGTTAAAAATTGCCTCAAAGGAATGAACATACGGTCTAAATTGCGACAAGGGTAGATGGTCCAATTTTACATATGATATGAAATGAGAAAATGAGCTGTAGAAGACCATGATCGATTTTAATTTGAAATGAGGAAATATTGTCGATAAGCTGCATTTTATGTTTCCCTTTTACAAAGCTGTTGAATTCTCTTCTTTTCAGTTGTCACAGGTTCAACAGATGGTATTGGAAAAGCTTATGCAAAAGAGGTATGTTATACTTTTGATTAAAGTCATAGCAGTTTACATCTTTATCTAAATACCACAAAAGCATTTATTTCTACTTCAATCTACTGAAAAAGACAAAAAAGTTTTATGGGTTGTTAGGTTCATTCTCTCCATATCTCTTTAAACATTTCTTTCAACATGCTTCCTTTCCTGCAGTCGCTAAAATGTAACTATCTGAAACTACTATTTAAGACCAGGTCACCCTCAAATACAATTGACTTCGACGATATACAATAAGTAATCCGAGCACTACTTTTTGATTTTAATGAAGTGGTGACACTTTTATGCAAAGCAAAATATGAAGTATTATTTTGATATTTTACCTCTTCAAGAATTTCAGTCTATTAAAATAAAATCTGTTCAGTTTTATATTTTAATCAATATAATTTTGTTAAATTTTACTGCACAGCGGGTGTGACCAGTCGGCAGGGGATGCTCACTCCTCCATGGCATCTGATCCCACCTCTAAATTTTGAGGTCCATATTTGTTCTGCTCCAAATTTGTATCGTTTCATTGGACTTTCGAGATTGAATACTGTTCGTTATCTTCATATTTCACTACAATCAGCCGTATTTTAGCAGCTGTCAAACAAAAATGAGGAAAACTGAAACATTTGGAATCACTTTAGTTGCTCTAATAAATGAAAGCAAAATCGAAGAATTTTAAAAGAAATATTTCAAATGTAAGTGCAACTTTCTCAAGTTAGTCCTGTAGAGCTTAAATTTCATTTCAGATTTCTGGTTATATTTTGGAATGAATCAACTTGCATGTATTTTTGATATAGTTATTAGACTGCTACATTCAACCTTTCACGATATTAGAAAGGAATGTATACAATTTTGGATGAGTTTACACCGAGCTATGAAATGATGAAAATTCAAAGTATCGTGATTTCCTCGCGGTTATCTAACTTACTGCCGCTCTTCTGCGAAAACAAATCAAGAAAGTTCTAAATCTTGTGTCATTTTCAGGGCATAACATATGGTTTAAGCTAGTAACAATGAATGATTTGAACAATGAGTACGCCGAAAGTATAATGCATTGCTAATGGTTGCACTTCAGAAAGTAAGTAATCTTATTCGGAATGTTAAGACTTCCAAAAGTAACGTTTATCTCAAAGAAATGGTTGAATGTATTATGAGAAGAGTCGGCTAGGCGGAAAAAATCTATTTAAAAAATGTAACACAAGAGAACTAGCATCTTAATTTTTTTCAGCGTGGTGCACCGAAATTTAGCAAGATATTTCATCACGACCTCTTTCTAATATGTCGTGTTGGATCTAGTAGTGTATTCAACAGCACATTGCCCCAAGTTAATTGACGTTTCCTACCTCAATCGCGAAAGAGTTCCGTTAAATTAATTAATCGCGATATGAAGTACATTGTATTATCAAAAGCGTTTAAAAATAGTGTACATGAAAGTTTGGGGAAATTAATTGGTAAAGGGAACTTTCTATATGTTGTATTAAAGTACTTAAATGCATATACTTTCATTCAAATTTTATAATAAGTAATGTTAATCATTCCTATTTTTAGCTAGCTAAAAGGGGAGTAAATATTGTTTTAATAAGTCGCTCAGAAGCAAAACTTCAGGAGGTTGCCAATGAAATAGGTAATGAAGATTTGTGAATCAAAATGAATAATTCATCATGACACATTCATCAGCAATTGCATGTAACATATAAAGTACACAGTATTTTGTGCTTTAATTTCCAGAAAAAGAGAGCAAAGTTCAAACTAGAATTATTGTGGCTGACTTCAGTAAAGGTCTGGAGTTGTATGATTCAATTAGGGACCAGCTAGCCGGCCTGGAGATCGGAACGCTAGGTAAAAGGACTATCATTCTTATTTTATAGTCTTTTCTGTCACACTTCTTCAAAGGATAACCTTGATTTATCCTTTAAAACAGATTTATTTTCTTGGAAAGTAAGGATAGAACAATGAGTATTAATTTACGAGTTTAACAGGGACATTGAACATTTGAACTACAGCAAACACCTTTTTGAAATGAGGTTATATCTTTCTTTTCCATTCATACGAAGTCTTTTATTCACTAATGCACATAAGGGAATTATTACTTTTCTATTGAATCTCTGTAAACAAATTAAACTTGGGTCATGATGCGTGTTTTTGTCAGTCTTACGCATTTAGAACAAAGCTAATGACGTTTGGATTGACTTTTATCGAAATTAAAAATTCAACATTGACACTTCATGAATCTCACACTGATCAAAGCTAACTGCTTGAAATCTTGTTGTGTGATATTATTCATCATAATTCAATGTTATTTAAAGTGATATTTAGTTTCAACATATATTGAAAGGAAAAAGAAACGCAGGGTAAACTTTTGGATGTGATGTAATGATAATTGTTTTAATGTATTTTCCAATATTATTATCTAACATATAGACACATCTTTAATCAATATATCAACATATTATGTTAAGAAAATCTCATTAGATTTTAACGAATAATTCAAGAGAAATTGAAACTCATTTAACGGTACCCCCACAAAAGTGAAATCGAAAATGTAGGCATTATTTCTATGCCTCTCTAACGCATCGGTCAGAGCCTTAATACTCCTATTCATGGAAGTCTTCGGTGCATTTTAAAATTTTTTCTTATAGGACTATTATCTAACCCTTCCAACACTGTAGCCTTTAGCTGGTCAAGAGGGGCCGGTATATTCCGACGCCCTCTTATTCTATAGTCCAGTTAGTCTCATAAATGTTCAATTAGAGACAAAGGTGAATTGTACGGACCCAGTCGAGTAGGTTAATGTGATTTTTGCTAGGAAGGCTTGATATATTCTGGCTACATTTGGTGGGAGTAAACATTGTAAACATAAAATAGGCAAACAGCGCTCACCTGCGCGTTTGAGACTAACACCTCCGTAAGTCAACAAGCTTGCAGAACAAACTCGCGCAATCTCTTTCTTCCAGTTTTGGGGTGGAAGTGAAGATCGTGATTGCCTTTTGCATTTGGCGGTAGTGATGTCGTGATTACGCCAGTTGTAGGATGGATAGCTCTGTATTGACAAGGCCTCGTTATATGCTCACTATCCCGAAAACTTTAGAACAACCTTTTGTTGCCTTTGTTTCTTGGCAATGCAATTGCTAGAATACATTGAACTTCCGTCAGCCGTATCATTTTTGCACGAAATTCAAATTGACTTTAAATAGCGGAAAACAGTTTGTATACCCCCAGAGTACCAACTTCTGTTACAAAATTTGTTCACAACGCAGCACTGTTAAGGCGTACTACGAAGAAATCAACGGAATATAAACTTGCACAAATATACCATTTTAAACTGAATTTATTTTCGTAAAGCTATTATATTATTGCATGACTTTAATATTAATTGAAATAGCATTGTTTACCCCACTCTGTTATTTTGAGAGTCACATGATAAATGCATATAATGTGTACTGTATGTAGGTCTTGAACAAATTTCAATATCGCAAGGGCATACCCTAGTTAAAATTAAAAATTTAGGTAATAACTTGTTTTTACATAACTTATAGTTTCTTGAAAGTGCTGCTGCTTTAGATAAAATTTGCATTTTATTATTATAAATTTCAAGTTATTCGGCGCTAGTTAAAATCTTTGTAACCTTTACCAAGTGTTTTATGTATTTATTAAGTAATGCTTTCGATTTTAGGAAAGCAGCAGCACTTTTCTAGATCAGAAATATTTCCTTTATGTATATTCCAAAAATTGTCAAGATCTAATAAGTGTATATTTTGTCACCATGTGTTTCTTTTTCCTTTCAGTATATTTTCTTGCTTTGATTGACTTTTCCACAATTATTTTCTAGGAATCGTTCCACTTATACGCAATGATTTGGCACTCGTAATAAAGCCAAAATTCGGCTATAAAATGAACCTCTTGCTCTTTTATATGGACATTTCTTTATCCATTTCATAGCACAAGACTGATTAAATTTATATGAAATTGAATATCACACTTATGTATCTTGAAATCTTGTTCAATTTACTTTCAAGTAAAAAGATTACTAGTATATCGGCCTAGCTTGATGCAAAATCTTGTTTGTTAATATGATAGTTAACTTTTAAATCATAAATGGAGGACTAGAGGTTAAATGTAGTATTCATTCATCTCAATCTTTTTACATTACAGTTAACAATGTAGGGATGCATTATCCATTCCCAAACTACTTTTTGGATGTAACTGATAGAGAAGAGGTATGGGAAAACAAAATTATTTTTTCTATGTTTGAAACCATAAAATGAAAATCTCAGGTTGTTTGTTGATTTTAAAGCTGCAGTTTGACAGCAGCTGTTTCACATTAGGGTTCCACTTTATGGACTTCATATGGTGATCAGACGTACCGCAGTTTGACAGCAGCTGTTTCACATTAGGGTTCCACTTTATGGACTCCATATGGTGATCAGACGTACCGCACATTCTTCCGTTATGTATTGCTTACCCGGTGCTTATCCTCTCGGCATTGGCCCATTCTTTCTCACCTTCACCCAAGGAGTCCCCCTGGACGAAGGATGATCAGTAATTTTGATCCAGGTTTTCATGTGAAATTCTAAGGTTGACATAAGTCCCTGTGTATAACCTTTTCTCCGGAGCATATTTTTTTTCTTCCTCGACCCAGGTCCACAAAGTATGCCCATGATAAAAGGATGTACAATTACTTTGATGCAATTTCCCAAATAACACGCAAGGCCAAAACAATTATCTGTGTGAAACCTTGTCTGGAACATTTTTCCTTGTCTGGAGTATATGTCTTTTGACAAGTTTGACACACCATACCCATACAGTAAATAGAAAAGGGTTTGCAGTGTTTTTAACATGTCAAAGGTCATGGTTTTGTTAATTTTAACAAGGAGTGATTAACTTTAGCCTCATTAACTCAATGAGATCAAAAATAAATTTGGGAAAAAAACTTTTTTTTTACTTCTTAAAAAAATACAAGTAACAAAATCTTCTTCCTACACCAAGACAAAACGATTAATGAACACAAAATGTTCTACAGCAATTACATGTCTACTTTACCCTTTTGCACTTCACTTCACATTTAATTTGAAATGGTCTCTATCTAAATGGTACCTGCTTTTGCTTGTCAATGTTTCCAGTCATGCTCAACATTATTAATATTACGAAATTGACGTTCTTATGTATATTTCTTTCAGCTTTTTATGAAATTGATCAACGTAAATGTAACAGCTGTGACCATGGTAAGCTGTATTGTCTCTAACAACGCATTTACGATCTCATAAAACATATCTAAATGCTTAATCCTCTACCTTTTCATACGCCCGTTTTAAGACAAGACGTATTATGTTATAGCGTTCATGTCCGTTCGTCTGTTAGCTTTTTCGTGTCCGGCTCATAACTTTAATACTATTAGGCCTAGAGTTTTCAAACTTTGTCAGCTGATGCATCTTGGGTAGAAGGTGTGTCGCGCATTAAAAGTAGATCACTCTGACCTTTAATTAAGATGTTATGGCCAAATATGGAAAAATCCTGTCCGGCTCATAACTAGAAACCTATAAGACTTAGAATCATCAAACTTGGCCAAGTTATGCATCTTAGGTAGAAGGTGTGTCGCGACCTATTTCAAGGTCACTGTGACCTTTAACTTAAGTGAAATTTAAAAAAAAAACTGTCTATACTATTAAATTACACAACCTAAAAAATGTAAGAGTGTTGCAGTATCCTTATTAAAAAATGTTAAATCAAGAAATTACTTTTTTCATTATATACTTTACAGCAATCTATAACAAATGTACTGTTATAAGAGAAACTCCACCTCTCCCATGGGTGTAATTATCAAGCACTGGTCAAGGAGAATTTTTATGACAGAAAATTGCATGTAAAATTAGAGAGAAATTAATCAGTTTAGTGTGAGGAGATAACTAGTAGAGCATCTCTGATCAAGCAAGTGTTATCTATATCTCTTGGAAATTGGGCAAAGGAATCGGCCGTGTTGGATTAAATAGAGCTTGTTGGCTAACCTAGCTTTTAAAATGAATTTGGTAAAAATTTATTATAACTAATTTGATATTGCATAATAAACTAATTTGATATTGTGTAATATAAATAAAACTAATTATACCGGGAGGGAGGGGGATATTGGAATCAGCCTGTCCGTTTGTCTGTGTGAACTGCAACTTAAAACCAGTCTAACATTAAATCTCAAAAAAAATCATCAAGTATTTTTTAATAAAATGCATTATGGTAGTCCCTACAAATCTAAGAGTCATGCAGTAACCTTATTAAAAATGTTGCATCAAGATTACCCAAGTTTTTTTTTTTTTTATAATTCTTTGTAACAAATTAAAAAATATCTGTTTTTAACAGAATGATGTTAATATGCATTTTAATTGCAATACAGACTACAAAGCAGATGGTGCAGATCCATTCATCCCTTTGGAGTAATGAGTGAACAGCATCCAGTTAAAGATATTAATTAATTAATGAGTTCAATGTAGGAAGGCTAGCTGTCTCAATCATTTCTGTTAGAGCAACTCTGTTCAAGCAGCTCTTATCTGTATCCTTTGGGAATTAGACAGAAGAACTGCTTGTCAGTTTATTAGCATATGTCATTTGATGGCCAGTCTTTTATTTTCAAAATAAATTTGGTATAGATTAAATTTTTAAGACTAATTTGATATTGTTTAATATGATATTTTTATTTAATTTTTTGAAAATATCAAACAAATATGAAAGATGAGGGGGGAGGGGGCTGCAGATGGGAATTTCTCAAACTCTAACACAACAAGTTTGAGAAATCTATGATGTAATATTTGTTATAATTAATGCCTACACTACAGGAGATGTATAAACATCAAATATTATAAGGAATGGAAAAATCATGGAAATCTTTGAATCAAGGTTGACATGATTTTCTTGCACTCTAAACTGTTTATGATAATTGAACAATATTTGACGGGCGTATCATGCTGTGGCGGGGCACTTTATTAACTCTTACGAAAGTCTTTCCTGTTACTTATTGCAGATGACCAGCATTGTGATGCCTGCAATGGTGGAGAGAAAGAAAGGCGCTGTCATAAACATCTCCTCCATTGGAGGCTTGCACCCCATGCCTCTCATAACGGTATATTCCGCCTGTAAGGTATGTTATTATCATTTTCAATCTACATACTCAGCTGTGTAACTAGGCCCTTTTCTGTTCAAAGTATATTTCGCCTGTACGACACGTGACCTTCAATAATCAGTATTTCCTCAGCTGTAACATTATGCCCCTCTTCTCTGTCCACTGTATTCTCAGCCTGTTAGGCACGTTGTCTTTTATTATGAGTGTGTTCTTCGCTGCAGGACTCAACCCCACATTTCTGCTCACCGTTGACTTACCTGTAAGGACGGTGACCTATAAATATCTGTGTGCCCTTAGTTCTGAAACTAAATTCTTTTTCTTCTACTGTGTACTCTCTCTCTGCAAGGTATATAAGCAATAATTATCAGTCTGTCCTCAACGGTGGGTCAGCATCATTCCCCTCTATTCACCGTGTACTCAACCTGTGGCGTTCTGTATGATATGTAAAGACATAACGAACAGTAATCAGGCTCAAACGTCCTTTGGAACAAAACAAATTGGAAGCAGAGCAAACACGGACCTCTGAAAACAACAGATGTGGGATCATAAACCATGGAGGAGTAAGCATCCCCTGTCGACTTGCATACCCGTTCCTTGTCATGATCAGGCAAACGGAAAATAACCGTAGACAATTCAGTGTGAAGATAGTGGCCTAACAATTTGTAGGAAAAACGTTAGTCAACATTAGACTTAATGATAGATTGTATTTGCTAACAAGGTCATTGCATCGACTATAGAATTTGCTAAATGTTGATTTTAAGCGTTATTGTTGATATCCTTTTATAATCAACTTATTTGTCAATATTTTGCCTCGTTCTACAAATTGTTCCTACTTAAAACATGCTCCTGCGTATCGAATCAACTGGGAGACATAAAGTCCATATGCAGGTGATAATGGTATATTGCTGCATAAATAAGGGAAGTTGACGATAGAATAGTTGAAGTCGTCACATGTATGATTAAGTTTTGTTAATTTGTTTGATTGTCGATCACGTCTTTTTCTAGCTAAATATCCAAATTGAAACAGATGTGTAAGACTCGGTGGTGTCTTTTATTTTGGGTTCAAAAGGGATACATTGATTTAACTTAGGAATGAATCTTTTCAGAGAGAACTAAGTTTTTCATTAAAATATTCTGAATGAAAAATTGACCTTAGCAGTCAATCCAAACATTAAAAAGTTCTTCAAGTAACATCTTGATAAATTTTGAAATAAAATGATTTTACAAAAAAGTATTATGTGTCCCCTCTGACATGTTTTAAGGGATATTGCATTTGATGTAAGTGTTGTTGAATTGGTTGATTAAAATGTTTTACGACAAAAGATGAAAAGTCACGATTACAAATATCATTTTGACTAGTAAATGCACTTTGTAATGTACGATCTGAACCTCTGCTGACTTTACAATAAATTCTCTTTTTCAGGCTTATGTGACATTTTTCTCCCGGTGTATACAATCTGAATATGAATCGAAGGGAATTATTTGTCAGGTAGGCACATATTTTGTATGTTGTCCATCAACACCAGAAGAAGCTAATCTAACAAATAATTTGTCAAATGTACAGATTTTTTTTAAAAATAAATCTATTAAATTATATGTCAACCTCAAGATTTATATTTTTTCACTTATTAATTGAGAAGATCTGTATTTATAACTGAGTTTTAATTTCCGGTACTGGTGATTCACAGATTTATTCAATTCAAGACTTAACCTTAGTTTATATACGTGACATTTATTGAGTTGTGGAAAACAATACCATCATTATTTTTTAATTAAAGAGTGTCCAATGTTCATTTGTCGTGTGTTGTCTTTTCATAATTTAAAGAGAAAAGATAATTTTTTAATTTTTTTTTTCAAAACTACAGGGTATGCCTTTGTACATGTCTTTATTTATTGACAAACACAATATTTGAGCACTCACCGAATTAGAAAAATTTAATTCCAACTGAAAGCATTCTTTTTGTATCTGCTTATATTCTTCAACCTAGAATTTGTCTTAAAGTAAAAGTCTGGTTGTTTTAGTAGTAGCATTTCTTTGCATTCTATTATTTGAGAATAGAAACACAAGGATGAAAACTTGTAGTATCCCATTCTTGTCCTGCGTTATAAAATAAACTGCACTAAATTATCTGTGTTGGTCCAGACCAACCTGCAAATACATTGACTGTACAAATCTTTACAGTGTGTAGTGCCACATTTTGTTGTAACAAATATGACCATGCCATTTCTTGTTACAACAAAGAGGTCAGAGAAAAGGATACCTTCCTTATTTAGACCAAGTCCCACCACCTATGCTAAAGCTGCCTTGGATTCCGTTGGGGTATCAGATTTTACCAATGGCTACTGGGCACATAGTGTTCAGGTGTGTATTGTGTCCGTAGAGTGCCATTTTATATATTTCAGTATAATTACATGAAATTTTGTAAGGCTAATCATGAAACATTAAAACCTCGATTCAGAATTCGCATTTAGCACTGAAGTGGTGAAACATTAAAAAAAAATGAATTTGTTAGTTTACAGTGCAGTAAAGTTTAATTCTGAGTTTCAGTTTACGGCATCTGAAACATAATTGATTCGTGACCAAAAGACGGTTTTATCTAAGCATTCAGTAAAAAATATTTGAAATGCTTTCCAGTCTTATATGTGTTTTACAGGCTGCAGCCGTGGGCATGTTACCAGAAGGAGTCATAAAAATGATGTCAGTGGGCTTTATGGAAAAAACCAGAAAAGCAAATTTAGAAAATATGTCTAAGAAAAAGGAATAATGTTGATCAAGTCAATTCAGAAGCAAATATGTATTGCTCAGTTTTAAAAGACAATGTAAGAAAGCTTCATTCAGTTGTTAAAATCAAAGCTCAAAGACAGTATTTATTTCAAAGAATATACACGTATTGAGTATTCATAAATGAATAATTAATATACACTCAATAAATTAAGGGTCATTTAGAGAGAAAAAGTTTTCAATATTTTGTAAATTTTTATGGAAAAAAAAAATTTAAGAATTTTTTTAATTTTAATTCCTCAGTGTATTCCCATTTAATGTTTAGAAATGACTTAAGGTCTCTTTACCCACGACTGCAATACCTCAGCATTCTCTTCTTTGTGGTAGCTCAAAAGACAGTGATGGATAGCACTCCCAGGACTGATTTAACATTATTTCATTTTTGAATTAAACCCATTTTTCTTTACTTTAGAAGTAGAATTATTATATAAACTTTAAATCCACTTTAAAAAATTGGAACCAAAATTAAATTTTTCTTATGTTTGTATCGTAAATTTCCATTCAATAGTATCTAAAAATAGTAGTAGTTCATTCTCCTTACTTGTATGATTTTCACCATAATCTTATCTAAATATTGGCATTTAATATATGCTTACTGTATGGTCTTCATTTATTAATTTAGAAATAATACTATGTAATCTTCTAACCCCAAAAAATACAAGGATTTTATAATCACAGTTTGATGGGCTTATTGGTCTGTAGTTTTTTAAATTATTTTCCCCCCTTTATGTATCAGACTAATAACAGCTAGTTTTTGAGATGATGGCGGGTCACCACATTTAAAAGATTTTTAAAATGAATCATAAATGTAATTCAGAATATTTTGTAAAATTCCGGGTGACTTGTTATCCATGATTTTAATTCCATCTTCACACTCTCTGGGAGTAGTTTTTGCCTCAGATATTCTTTTTTCGGTATTTAGGAAGCTCTAAACTCTTCTCACTGCAGAGTTCTCATTAAGTGGTAGTTTTATATGTAGGGAGGATAATCTGTCCTTTAATGTTAGGTTGAATAAATATAGGATCTCCCATGATTTGTAGTTGGATATGATTTTTATCCAACGAGTTGTGTGCTTTTTATCCCCGAGCCTTGGCGAGGGGATAAAAACACACAACGAGTTGGATAAAAGTCATATCCAACTACAAATCATGGGAGATTCTTTTTATCCCATGTTTAATACTTCACAACCAATGTTTTACACTGTTTTATATAGGACTCCACTTTATTTTACTTCATCACGCTAACGCAAAAACCATTGTGACGTCACAACTGCACTCTACTGTGGAATATGAAAAAATTATCCAATGAGTCATATCCACGGGATAAAAGGGTAAACATGGGATAAATGATTATCTTAAGTAAATGACACAATTTGAAAATTGAATAAAGTATTCTTAACATAATATAATACCAAAATAAGTTAAAATAAGGTAAATGACAGTGAAATCTGTTCTGCAATACTTCAATGTCTTTGAAAATGTTTCCTCAAGAAATGTATCAGGTAGCCTATATTGAAAATATACTACATAAACGCAATATGTACACCGTTATATAATACAAATGTTCTCAGTGTCCATAAAACATTTTTCTTTAGTGTTTGGAGCTTCCTTAATTTATTTTATGTTTTTTTTTATTTTCAGTATTTTTTAGATTATTTCTTATGTTTGTGACTTATATATTCAATTTTCGTAGAAATTACATAATTATCCAAAAATATCATCACTACTAAAGAAAGTTTGGTCTTTATCCCGTTTTTCTGTAATATTGTTTTGCTGATGTTTCTTTTCTAATTTTAAGAAACAACATTTTTCTCCATACTTTATGCAGTTTGCTCTAGATCTGATGTATACTCCTTCAGATTTCGTATCAAATATTTCTTGTAATTCTTTTCCTAACTTATACTTTTCTTGATTATTAACTTCATTAAAAGGTCTATTTTCAATATCTGTGATTCCTTTTTTTTTTCAATATTACAAAAGCAAACATTATTTGGTGCATGAAGATTTGCTGCTGAAAAAGTAAATCCATTGATTTTAATATTTTTCAAAATTTTCCTGCCGTCAGAAGATCTGTGATAATTTATCAATTCACAAGAAAATGTTATCTGATCGAAATAGATACACATCTACTAAATGCTGAGCTCAAAAGGCAGTGGAAACTTTTGTCCAGCCATCTGCCATTATATTAATACTCTTTTGATTTGACATTTCTTACAGAAAACCTGCTTAATTTTCCTCAGTACAATCTTAAAATATACCTTCGATTGTTTTACATTGATAAAAATTGTTTAAACTTAGATAATTATATTTCTTATTCAAGCAATGGTCACGAGGGTTTTCAATAAATAACGGAAAAGGTCCTAAAAATAAGAAAAGTACGAAAAATAGTTTCTTTCTTTTTTAATCCCTAAACGTATCCCCTGTTAATCTTTATACATATATTATAAAGTCTCTTTACCGATGACCAGAACATCTCAGTAACCCTTCTTTTGGATAGCTCAAAAGATACTATTGGATAGCATTCCCAAGGACATATCTAAAATTGTTGCGTCTTCCTTCTTTTCGTGAATTGTTGGGGATAAAAAAAATGCCACAATGACTAAGAATTAGTCAATACGGGAGATGGTTTAGCTCTGTAAACTTTCCTATCTTCAGAATTTTCTTTACTTCTCCATGCTTATTTGGAACAGCCTTGTAATGTACAAGAAAATCACCCTAGGTACCGCTATTTTGACTTTCCTTACGGAAAACGTGCTTAACTTTCCTCATTACAATTTTAGCATAAAAGCTACCATCGATGATCCTTCCTTTGTGTCTATATGCATGTATTACTGGACCAGAAAACAAGGAAACCTGTATAAACGAGACCTCTTTGGAGCTCTGGCTTCTATTTGCAATAATAGGACGACAGCACCCCTCTGATCCTTAATTTTATCATTTTATCTTCCTTTTGGGCTATAAAAAGTGTATTCATGTTTCTTCAACCTTCACCCTTCAACCAAATTTAACGTGAAATAAGAAGAGATCGAACAGTATTCAATCTCGAAAGTCTAGTGAAAAGATACAAATTTGGAGCAGAGCAAACACGGACCTCGAAATTTAGAGGTGGGATCAGGTGCCCTGGAGGATTGCCGACTGGTCACACCCGCCGTATGCTCCTTTTCATGATCGAAAAGAACCGAAAAATCCTTAGACAGTTCAGTGTATAAATAATGCCCTAACAATTAGTATGAAAAACGTCAGTCAGCATTTGACTCAATGAAAGGTTGTATTTGCTGACAAGGTCATTTTATCGACCGTAAAACTTGGGTAATGATGACTTCAAACGAGACTGTTGATATCTTTCTTTCATCAACTTGTTTGTCAATAGCTTGCTTCGTTTTAGAAATTGTTCATACGTAGAGGATGTTCTTGCGTATCGAATCAACTGAGAGACATAAACCCCATATGCAGGTGATAAGGGTATATTGTTACATAAGTAAGGGAAGTTGACGATTGAAAAGCCGAAGTCATCACATTTATCATAAAGCTTTGTTGAGGTTACCATTAACGCCTTTTTCTAGTAAAATATCTTAATATGAAACAGAAGTGTCAGACTCTGTGGTATCTTTTATTTCAAGCTCACTGGGATATATTGAGTCGACATATGAATGAAAGTAACTATTGCTAATTGATAATACGTCGTCGATATATCGAAATGTCGAGTTGAAGGCCACAGCAAGTTTTTCTTTTTCTCATGTAGAAGTTTTTGAATAAATTCGGCTTCATATGAATACAAAAACAGGTCTGCTTATAAGGGGGCGCAATTGGTACCCATGGGAATTCCAATAGATTGTTGGAAGACCTGATTTCCAAAACCTACATAGATATTGTCAATCAGAAACTCAAGCATCTTTTTAATATCAACATCAGAGTATTTGTGTGTACAATCAGAGAGCTTTTTAACAAAATAATGTTGTAAATGACCAATGGCAAGGTAAGTATATTTACGAGTTCCATTTGTATTGAAAAAGCAGCTGTCATTGATGTCAAAAAGCCTGGACTTCAGTTTATCGTGGGGAATGGTTGTATCAAGTGTTGAAAAGTCGTACCTTTTGATGCTATTGATTTTAGTAAAATTTTGTGATTTTAAATTTTCCAAAAGCTCTTAGGAGTTTTTAAGTATCACCATCTGATTTACACCACTTCTCGAATGTACTGCTGTACAGTACTCCTGAAGTTTCTCCTTCGTTACCGTAAATATTTTAGTGAGGAGTAAAGAAAGAGGCTTGGTAGAACATTTACTGGAACCTGCTACATGTATGTATCTTTGTTTGTAAGGATTTTTATGAAGTTTAGGAACCCAGTAAAGATATGGTAATTTAAATTCATTTTGATTGTTGGAAATATTAAAAATATCTAAAACGGACACATGATTTTGAAGAATATCCTCCTTAAAAATACAAGAATATCCTCCTCTAAAATACAATTCAAATAATAGGCCTTACAATCAAAGACTATGTTGTTACCAGCTTTATCAGCTGGGACCAGTACATACTGATCGTGTAATCTATCTAATTCCTTTTTCACATCTGAACCATACCTTCTGTTAAAATGTTTATTTTTTGATAGACCCTTAGCAAATTTAACTCGTGTTTTCTTTTAGTCATCTAGACGGAAGTAAGGCATCCATTTGACAAAATATTTTAAGTTTATTTTTTGTTGTTGTTGTTAAGAACTCTAATATGTCGTGGTGATAAAATGTTTAGTGTCTATGCAATATCTTTGACCGTAAATATCAATTTTTAGATATCATACTACGCATTACTTTATTTTATTTTATATCCGAATATGAATATATTCGTTTCATAAATGTTGCCAGATATTGAACAATATTTACATTTTTTGTCATATATTAAACCAGCTATGAAATTGATTTGAATGCCATTTCTGTGTATATTCACGCGTAAAAATAGATATGGAGATAATTGTGCTAAAGTGACGTCTCAGGCCTACTTCGATTGAGAACCCCGGGTTAATTCGAGTTAATTTAAATATGCGTCATGCACATGCGCAAAAAAAATTGCAATAGAACGAGTTAATTTCACACCACGTGTTGTAATGAATGTAAGCAATATGGAAGGTTCGGAGTTATTTATCATGCCTATTAAAGGTTGTTCAAG